ATATATATATTTATGTCATTTAGATAAGGCCACTTAAGCATAAAAAATTACTATAATGTCCTTACTTGTTTAGGGTTTCTAATTTGGAAGGGGCACAATTTAGGATTTTTAAAGAAGTATCTAAGCGAAAGGAATATTTTTTTAAATAACCACGAATGCTCAGTTAGTTTATTTGAACACCTTAAGTAAGGCTAAATTGGTGATATAACTAACTTATGTTTTCATGGGATTATTTTTTTATATTTTTATATTATTTTTTAAATTTTATTTATTATACATCAAATTTTGGTGATTCATGGTCGTACTAAGGGTATGGCCCTTAATAGAGTAGAGTGACAAAACAATATTCGTATAACCCATCCCAAATAATTGGGATTAAGCTTGGATGATGATGATAATAGTGATGATTCATCAAATTTTGATACCCTAGGCGTGTAATAGTAGTATCGAGTGATTTTGTTTAGGTTTCAGTTTTGATGAGTATTCATCTGTTCATGTGCATCACCCCTCCAAAATCCATCGTGGATCCAAAATTTGAAGGTCTACCAATTTGAACCATTGTTATCACAAACATGAAAAAACATTAAAACTAAAATAAAATAAATACTATTTAGTAGCGACACCAAATTGTTCGGAAAAGACTTTGATAATGATGATTATTATTATATCAAAATTAGTTAATCTTTACCTCAAAACATATCGCAACTTGCAATTATGGTATCGAAAAAACTTCCAAAAATAGTATGGTTGTGAAAAAAAAAAAAGGATTTCAAGCTCGAAAAATAGTATATATTGTAACAATTAGCCATGCCATCTATTCACGCTCAAATACTTAAAGGTGTGGTTTGTATAAGGTTACAACCTTAAATAATCCAATTAAGGTGCACCTCCAAATTTTATCATATGTAATTTTAGTATAATTTTTTTTTAAGATTATCAGAAAATCTATTTTAATTTCTAATTAAAACAAATTAAACTTCAAAAATGGTTAAAAACAAGTAGATCTATAAACATTTAAAATTTTTGAAAATGGACGGTCTAGATAATGTGCTGCAAGATGCATTATTTTTGGAATTCAAAATCTTTTTTATTTTTCATTTTCATACATCTCAATGTCGAGATATCAATCAGGGAGTTTTTCAACATTAAAACAACTTTTAAATTTTTGAGGTGCATTTTAACTCTACATTTTAAGGTTGCAACCTTAAATAAACTTTTTTCAATGCTTAATTCTGAATTTCTGATCAAAACACCCGTTATTTACAGTGATTACCGTATTTAACGGCCGGTATGTCCTGTCATAACGTAATAGGTGGGTAACGTTATGACGGCCGTTATGTAAACCATGCTTATAAAACACTCGGGGCTTTTCTTAACATTTGGCTGTAAATTTTGGCGGCTAATGGCTCACTCGACCCTCTTCAATTCCTTCTTTCCTCTCACTCAACCATGGCTCAGGAGCTTCTCTCTTGATAATGGTTTCTCTCTCAAGATGGGTTTCTCTCTCAAGACCTCTTGGTCCAGAAGTTTCTCTCTCAAGACCATGTTGAAAGGTGAGAGCTTTACATGGGACCAAGTTCTTGGGATTGCCATTGCAGAAGATGAAGCACAGCAGCTTTCAGGGCTCAATGGCTACCTCGACAAGGTTCGAATCTGTAATCGTCGATATGTAAGTCTTTGGAGAACCCCACAATTTATTTTCAGAAATTTTCACAATTAATTAGCGCACCATTCTCTCTCTCTATAACTCGTGCATATGCAATTGTATGCAAAAATCCATCATTTATTTTTGTTATTTTGATATTTAAATCTCTTTTTTTAATTAAAAATTAAGCCCACGATTTGGTCTCTCTCTGTACGATTAAACTAACAGTTTTTGTATATACTTGGTGATTAAACTCATTAAATTTCTTCGAAATGTTTTTTGAGAATTGTTTTTTCGGATAAAGTCCTGGAAAATATTTATTTTCTAGATAGGTTTCAGTAGTGTGGTCTACCTGATGCTTGAGGGACCCTTTGAAATTTGATGGGAGTCAATTTTCTTGAGAAATACTGGTTTTCAGGAGAGTCTCTCTCTCTCTC